TGTGTGTGTGTGTGTGTGTGTGTGTGTGTGTGTGTGTCCTACACACTTAACTTTGAAAATCAAACCATAAGCCCTAGTGATGCTTTGTTCAAGTCTCTTCAACAAAGTACTCTATGAGGCCAATGGTTATTTCTACTCCATCCTGATTTTTACATCTGAATTGTTAGTTTAATTTTTTTAACTTTTTGCTTATATGATAAATTGTCACAGACATCATTTAATGTCTATCCTGTTCTATCACTGTTCATGATGTCACGAGAACCGACGTTATTAAATAAGTAATGATATGAGTGTTTGTTCGGTGCAGAAGGGAACCCTGATGCTGAAGGAAATGCTAAAGATTGACGGCGCTGGAACAGGAAGTCCTTCTTCTCAGGAGGCCGCTGACACCGGCAGCCAGCAGCACAACAGGCGACGGTCGTCCAAGAAACTAGGTAAGTAACCAAATACTACCAAGTACCACACCACAGGTACATGTACTACAACCACATGTACAAACCCAGTAGAGTCTGTGTACAACTTAATCCTTGTTTCCCCCCCCCCCCCCCCTTTCGTCCCATGTTCTCTCCTTCCAGCAGCAAATATGAGCGCCCCCCACGGTGACTCCGCTGTGATGGCTTCCCCCCCCATTGGCCGGCCCTGCCAACCTCTCCAGCGCCGTGCTGACCAGTAAGGTGTCGGAGCTGGCGTGTGTCTGTGTGGGGTTGGGAATGGCTCCACCCGATTTCAGCTACATAGGCAGTAGACAGGTTTGTCTTCTGCAACACACTTTTATTATTGTCTCCGCCAGGTTGTGTGTGTGTGTGTGCGTGTGCGCGCGTCTATCCACAGCACCACACCACATCATATTTTGGGTGCTCATTTAAGGATCTCTTCTGGTTGCATTGACTCAGTTTGATATTGCTATTGATTGACTCCTCACTAACTACTCTAACCCTTCACCGATCAGTAGGGCTGTAGGCGAGTGGGAGACAACACTTTGCTCATTGTTATTGTTCGTGTTTATCTGGCTAACGGCTGACAGAACTACATACAGCTGCTCTGAGGCTTCATTCGGCATCAACCTCACATCTACACTAGTATTTACAAATCAAAGCCTAAATACATATGCCTGCATAGACATCTGCATAGATTAAAATGAGCGTGATCTGCAGTGTGAGCGGTGCGAATGAAAAGCAAGTGTAATACACTTGCAGCCTAAACGGGGGGTTTGGCGAATTGTGGGTTAAATTCATTCAATCATAACGGCAGCGGTCGTTGCAGGCACACCTGGCCGAGATCTGCACACTACTGCAAAAACGTTGTAGTTTTTACCTGCATGGTGCAGATCTACACCAAGAAGGTTGCACTAACGCCCCTCTGCCTCCACAGGGCCGGGCAGTCGTGTGTCAGGTGAAGCTGTCCAATGGGTTGATGGTTCACGGTCCACAGTGCCAATCAGAAAACGATGCCATGGAGAAAGCTGCCTTCTTTGCACTCCAGAGACTGGTACGACACACACACACACACTAGTGTTCATGTCTGTGAGAGAGTGTGTGCTTGTAATAATTTGTGGGTGTGTCAGCAATCTTGTTTTGATCTTTTGAACTCAAATCATTTGTTCCTTTTGTGAGATATTTCTGTCTGAATTAGTTATCAGAAGTGAGTTTAAATTCAGTAAGAAGACCATTTGATAACATCCAAAAGGCTTCTCATTTTATTTGAATGTGTTATTGTGGCTTCTTGTCTCAGGGGGATGAAGAGGATTAATAGGACATGTAGCTCACAAGGGATGGGGCTCCTTTATAGCGGCTCATAAATCACAGTTTTAACACTCGCTTTGTACCAAAGTATCCACTAAAGAGTGGTTCTGCCTGTTCCTGATTTACAGGGCGGGCGGACCAAAAACTCACAGAACACAGCTCGGGTTAAAGTCCTGAAAGTTGTTATCTGATTATTAGTTTCACCTGCTCTTAAGTCATAAACAACTATTTAGAACAGGCTTACCTCTCTATTTGTGTGGGTACTCCAAGAATAGAAAGAATATTAACAATTAAACAGATGAGCTATGGAAAGCTTTAGCTTGAGACCAGGTTTCCTCTGAGCAGCTGTCAAACGGATGGTGAATGTTCATCAGGTTTTCTAGTTCACAAATACAGTTGAAGCGTCTCTGTCTCATCTGTAGAACTCAGTGGGGTCTGGCTTCCCCCTCCCTCCTCCTCTATACCCAGGAATGGGTCAGATCCGACCCCCACCCTTAGGACCCATGCCCCCCGGGGTCTTCAACCAACAAGGTCAGTCTTCCTCTCTTAAATATCGGGAACATATCTACAATTCCATGGCCATTGTTTGAAGTGTTGCCTTCACCATATATCACAGCTTTTTCAAAAACATATTTTTGTTGGATTTTGGAATTTTCTTGTCTACATTTGTGCAATATTCAAGTCAAAGTCACGTCTCACTTTATTTGTTGGTTTTCTGTCCTTTTATTGTATTTCCTTTTTTTGTCATTTGAGATTTTCTAGAGATAACGAGTCGTATAAATAATACATTTGAACCTTTTCTCCAGGTGGTTTGCTGTTGCCCCAGGGTTTCGGCCCTGCCCCCCTGTGGGGAATGCCTCTGCCTCCTCACCACCACCAGAACCAGCCGTTCTTTGGACCAGTGGGAACCTTCCCTGGTGCCGCCTGCCCCCCCCAGCCTGCAACGCTGCCCATCGGCTCACACAACCAGTTTATTCCGTTACAGGTTAGTAGATTTACACGTTTGAACGTATTCCTTCTGAAGGGAGGAGCTGATCACACCGAGGTCGAACAACATCATGTTTGGCCAAGTCAGAGGCGGCCTTTTCTACTTTCACAACTGACTTCCTGTTGTGACGTCGGTGGATGTGGTAGGGCTAGCTTGCTGTTAGCTGTTGGGCCGTGAGGAAGCTAAGAGTATGTGGAGAGTGGTGGGGGAACTCGTATCTTATGTCGTGGTTTAATGTAAGCTACTGTCTTTGAGACGGCGTCATAGAAGCGTCGGCGCCCATAGTGATGCGTCTCGGTGTGAACAGCCCCTAATGCTAGTCATGGTAACCCACGCTTTCTTGTCCTGGGACCCGAACAGGTGACGAAGAAGCGAGTCTCAGCCAACAAAAAGAACCAGGACACACGAGAGTTCTACAGCGCCGCCCACACTGTGTCCAGAAACCAATCCCAGAGATCCCAGAACCAGCCCTTCAGCCATTCACTGGCTCAGGGGGAATCCCACCAGTATGCCGCCAACAGCAACCACTCCCCGGGGAGTCTCGGTCTGGGTGAAACGCCGGCAGCACCGCACACGCCCCCTCGGCAAAATGTCCCAGCGACAGGCCTCACCCCCGGCTCCTCCTCCAAGAAGAAGCACAGAAAGCTGGCTGTCAACTTTGAGGCGGCTAAAGTCTCTGAATGATGAGCTGTGTGTGTGTGTGTGTGTGTGTGTCTGTGTGTTGTTTTTAAGCTGCTGTTTTAAAGCCTGACTCAGCATCTCTGATCAAAACCTCATCAGTGCGAAAGTTTCTTTTCACTCAAACCTTTTTTGAAGGACAGAATTCAGTTGACCTTTCACCTCTTCTGTTGAGATCAGAGTTGTGTCATGTGACCTGGTCTTTGTAGTTTTATGTTCACTTCAGCGTGTTAGTAACAGGTCGCTGTACAGTGTGTTTAGAAGAGTGAGGTGCATTCTGGGATAGATTTGTTTTTTTCTTCTTCGGGAGTAAAAGAGGTTGATTTTATGGATCGATTCCTCTTCTTAGCAGAAGTGATTTTAAGTCTTATATCTTTGAATCAGTATATCAGTGCTTATTCAGCACACTTCAATTCAAACTGTTTATTACAGCTTTTATTTTATTTTTCAGCTCTGGCTTTTAAATCCGTCAGCCAGCTGAACGTCGCACAGATCACGGAACCCTGTTTTGTGATAAACGTTCGCTCACTGATCGTGTAGTTAAATATAAGGATATTCAAAAACAATCGCCTGGTTTCAACTCGTAGAAATAGAGAACGAGGGTTTTACTTCCTGTGGTTGTTCACTGAGCTCCATCTGGTTGAGTGAAATGTCTTCGTTAAATATGCATTGTAGAAGAAGTCCTCTTGGTTCTACATACTTACTACTTCCTGCTTTTCTTTCTGTATACTTGTTGACATACGAAGTCATTTGGAAAACTCATTTGACCTCATGCGATGCTGTCTTTTGTTTTTGTTAACTGTTAATTACGCATAAAAATGGGCCTTCTATCACAGCTGTGCTCGTACAGACTGATCAGTATGTGAAGCGTCTGCTCTGTGGAGTTTGGATCAGTGGTGTTAATCAGGCCAGGATTGATTTTAATCTTTTCTTTTCCTGATTTTATTTCCATCACACTTTTGACGCCTTGCTGCAGTTTTTATACTTTCCTTTTTTTTTTTATGGTTTGTCGACGACACGGCCAAAGTAAAGAAGTTGAATGCACATAATGCAGAATTATCACACACACTGATATTGCCACTGCAGAGTCAAATCCCACCTACAGTGTTGAAATTGCCAGCCTTTGTTTTTATTTGTTTATTTTTCATGAACTGCACCTGGTGAGGAAGTCCTTATTTCATTTTATTGTTGCCGTCTACAAACTAATCTGTGAGATTTGTTCAGTCATACTTCAGCCACATTTCACAAGAAACTCCGTGTTAGAGTCCATCATTCACCTTTTGGGGCTTGAGGATAATTGGTGACCTTTACAACTTGATCAAGTAAGCATTGAACTACGATACATATGTAAGTGTTAAATGAGTTATTGTGATCGATGTAAATGCAGCCAAAGACTAAACAGTGCTAATATACTGAAACATGCTTTTGGGACATTCCTCCAGGTCTCTGTTGAGGACTTTCATTTGAAATCTGGGTTTATCTACATAAGAACACACACATAGAATTGATCATTTTTAATTCTTTTTTTTTTTTCTTTTTCAAGCTATGGATTTTATGGATACCCATTTTATAGACGGTCTTGGGCTCTTTTGTAATCTAATGATTGCGAGTAGAGCTAGTGATTGAGGTGAAGTGTCTTTAGGCACAATGTTGTTTTAAGACTGAGAACCGAGGACTCGAGGAGCTTTTAAAACATTTTGGAAATTGAAGCACACCTGTTTTTCTTTTTTTGGGAAATGAAACAAAGTAGAGAATTCTCAATATGAAGAGATAATGACTTGCTGTTTTGATCCAGGAATGTGCTGTAAATATCCATTTAATAAAGAAAATCTTTTGTTACAGCATCTTTGTGGCATCTCTGTGTGTGCGTGCGTGCGTGGAAAAGGTCATGACCTTAGTGGGAGAATTCATAAGGATCTAGGACATTTAAAAAAAAAAAAAAAAGTATATAATTGCCAGAAAAGTCCAAGATGTTGGAACAGAAACTCAGAAATGGAGAACTATAGCAATATTAGTTATCGTGTATTCCTCAAGACAAAGTTTTATTTATCTATATTAACTTTTCAGTAACGCACATCTTATAAAGACTACTGTGAAGAATATAATCAAAGCACGATACCGCTCGATCAGCCTTTAATGTCACGGCTCGACCGTTTTTGGACAGTGGAGATTACAACAAAATTTGGGAAAATAAATTTAGAATAGAGCTTTGGTTGATTTCATTGATATGAAGTTACAATGATGTAACAGCGAGTATAGTAGTGGATGCCGATGTAAACCATTTATATATATATATATACACCACATATTCAGAAACCTTGAATGAGACTATTGAGTTCCAGAAGCTGGTGGAACAGAGGCTAGCCCGCACTTCAACACACAACACTTCAGCTCTCTATCACAAATGCTGGTGTGAAGCGGTACTTCAAAAAGCTACATCTGCACTGCTGGAGCTGGGGCAGCTTTATTCAGGGGGCTCCAGATCAAAACAAACACGGTAAGACAAAGAGGAATATTAAGGAGGTATTCATAAATATCAACAGATGTGGATTTAATACATCACTTCAGTGATATGTTGACGTAGTGGTGTGCTATAGCACAACTAGCAGGCTCTCACTCCAGAGAGCCAGGACCAGACTGAGTTTGGCCTCCTGTGTGGGCAGCTGGAGCTGGGCCACGGCCAGCTGCTCTGCCTGTTGGAGCTGCCGCAGAGCCTGGAGGTGGGACAGGGGGAACTGCAGGCCCTGCAGAGACAAAGACAAACGGATGCATACATCACATACATCAAGGGATGAATGTTGTCGGTGCAGGACAGAGGGCTTCCGATGTCAGCCTGTGTCCGGTGCTATCAGATACATATATATATATATATACACACACACAGACATTTATATTCATGAAAGCAGTCATGAAGGTAACACAAAACTTAAAGAAACAACGTGCAGGCCAGAGATACATAATTAAGATTTGAGCCCAAAGACTATACGTAAACATAAATAAACAAAACATGAGCAGCAGGAAGGAAGGTGTTGAATCCAGGATGATACCGATAGGTTGAGTGACGCCGGATGAAGAGTATACACAGCCGTTGAATATCTGTTATCGTGAAGAGGTTTGTACAGTCTCTCCTTGGTCAGCCAACGGCGTTTCAACGTGGCGTTCTCATTGTGCCAGCCTTCTCTTTCAAAAGGAGAGGAGAAGGAAAAGCAGAGGTGCTTCATCGAGGAGCACGGAGTTCAACAGCTTACCCTGGAGATGTCCTGCTCCTCCTCTTCATCACAACTGCCACCCATCATGTGGCTCTCCCTGTGGTTCTTCAAAGAGTGTAAGACAAAGATTACCATCTCTGTGGCCTCATCCTGAAACACACACACATGGAGCTGAGCATGGCACTGACTTCAATCTTTTCTGTTTCCCTGGATATCTGATGGACTTACTGTTTTCTCTTGGCTGGGCTCCACTGTCATCACCATATGGTCTTTAAACCTCAAACACACCATATCCTCCAAGGCAGGAATCTTGCCAGCTGTGACACACAACCAAACACACACACAGTTGCACATGTGCACAAAATGGCAAAAGTGAATTCTATCACTGTTCACATAGTTTGAACACATACAAACGAGCACAAACAAGCTCACATGGTTCAAGCAGCTCCTGCTGGCTGTACGGTGGCAGTCTGTTCGTGATGAAGTCTCTCTTCATGTGAGTGGAGCGGACTTCCTGCATCCCGTTTTCCAGTTCATCAGCCAGAGATCTGAGGCCAGCGGCCAGTGTCCTGCTGTTGTCCAGGTTTTCACTGTTACCCTACAAACCCAGACATCGTCGGTGTTAAGGCCTCTTTAAGTGCTGAATCCTGAATAAAGTATGAACTAGAACTACCGTCTCGTAGCAGTATGCCTCCGCCAACCAGTGATAAATCAGTTTAAAAATATATCTGTCTAAAATGTCATGACTTCATCATTTTATCCTATTAATAATTCTTGACTCGTGGCCAAAAACGTGTTTCTGAGGTCACAGTGACCTTTGACCAGCAAATGCTAATCAGTTCATCCTTGAGTCCAAGTGGATGTTTTTGTCAAATTTGAAGACATTTGCTCAAGGTGTTACTGAGTAGGGCTGCATATTAACTACTGCATATTAGGGCTAACTATTATATTGATAATTTACTAATAATTAATCAATTATTAGTCAGATCAAAAGCTGGGTTTTTTCAGCGTTTTGCTCAAATACAAAACATTCCCCGTGTTCTTGTACAATATTCTTTTACTACACACTGAGCATGCAGCCATGCACTGAAACTAAAATTTCACTTATACATCTTAGCATCTCTTTGTCGTCTATTTATCCTTGTTTAAATGTGTTGTGTTTAAGATTATTATCATTATCATATTTAACCAGATATTGTTTCAGTTGTGAACATTTAAATGATGCACTTTACAGAGAATGAACCGGACGGACAGATAGACAGACAACCCAAAAACATAATCCCTCCAGCCTCGTCTGTCGCCGTCGCAGAAGCCAAATTAAGTGGAACTTTGAGTTGTGTCACAGTAATCCAAACGAAGAGTTTTACCAGTAAGAGGCCTCTGGGTATGCCCTCTCTCAGGCTGACTTCAGTCTTGCTGCGGTTGCACAGCAAGCTGGGAAATATGTCCAACAGCAAATCTCCCCATGACCTGAGGTAGACAGGACAGAAGAGACTATCAGCAATCAACACTCGGAAACAATCAACACCCAGAAACAATCAACACTCAGAAACAAGCAACACTCAGAAACAATCAAACACTGAGAAACAATCAAACACTCAGAAACAATGAACACCCAGAAACAATCAACACCCAGAAACAATCAAACAACGAGAAACAATCAAACACCGAGAAACAATCAACAGTCAGAAACAATC